CAGCTCACTTAGGGGTGGACTGTTAGCCTCAGCCCAGAGGAACAGGCTTCATGTGAGCTTCCCCCTCTAAGGCAGCACTCTTCTCTGGGCTCCCCTCTTGCTTGGAAGGTGAAGTGTAGTAAGTTTCTTCCCTTTTTGTGGTACAGACTGCAGCCTGTCAGCTCTGCTGGCCAGTGCATATTGGGCAGAACCATTGCTTTGTCTCCCCCTTTACTACCCCATTGTTCACAGGTGACTTATGCATGTAAGTGTCAGGTGTGCAGTGCCTGCTCCCCACACAGCTACATTTGGAGATCTGATCTGGGCATGGCTAACACAGCCATGCAAGTGAGTAAGGGGTAGTAGGCCTTACTCCTCTGTGGCCACATAGCCAGAGCTACAATCCAGTACTTGATATTTTGTCTACCTCCTCTCATTTTTATTAAATCCTTCTGTGAGGGATGAGGTGTCTTTTTTGAGAACCTACATATTTTCAGCAAAAAGCAGTTCTGTGGTTTCTTAGACACTTCCTGTAAGTCTATTCACTGTCATTGATCTTGTAAGGAACAGCAATGACTCCGACTGGACCTTTCTAATAACAGTATTGGCACTGAATGGATAAGTTCTCTTGATTTCTTTGAGAGAACCTGGAGACTTCCAGAAACCAGACTTGCAATAGCTTCTCAAAAAGCTAGGTGTCTTATAAATTGCAAATATTTTGAAGTAGAGTGATCCGTTGATCATTTTACATATATACCTTTGTATCATCTACCTCTGAAAGCAGTTCAGCGGAACTTCCTTTTTAATATTCCACCAATATTCAGAATGCCAAACACATCTTGGAAACTGGATAACTGTTTCAGAGAGGCTATTATGCCACCTACAGTAAGTTTGAGTTATTCAGAATCACACTTGTTGCCTTATGCATCAAAGAACACTATAAAGTCTGCTAGGCCTAATCGTTGACCTGCCATGAAAATGGTGTTTTATTTTAAGCTTTCCTTTAAGAATCCATTTTATTTCTCTCCTGTTCTTCCCCTCTCAAAATAACAATAATTTTTAGAAACTTCCCCACACCTAGTAGTTCCTTGGCTGAAAGTTTAAAAAGTAAAATTTGACCGAACAAACTGAAAACCGTACATAAATTAAGGGGAGCTAGAAAACATGCATCACTTTTACTGACTCCTGGTGAAGTTTCAGTTTTTTCATTTGTAATATTTTCAGCCCAATACGTGTTAAGCTATTGCATTCTCTAGAACTACAATGGATTTGATAGGAATTTTACAGTGGGACCAGTGTTGTGGTCAGTAAATATTTGGGCTGACAACCTTACCTTGTAGACATTCTTCTGTGTAGATATCTCTACTTGTAAGAAGCACAATACAGTGAACCTGACTGCAGATAAAATACCTAAGCAGTAACTATACTGTATGGTAGAAAATTAAGTTTACAAAATGATGGCCACTTTGTTCAAGTCAGTGCACTGAAAGCTGTTATGGTGGATGGAGAAACACTTTGCCATAGTAAGAACATAAGAAAGGTCTGACCTAGTATGGTTCATCTAGCCCAGTTGCCTCTCTTCTGACAGTGGCCAGTGCCAGATGCTTCAGAAGGAATGAACAGAACAGGGCAATTATCAAGAGATCCATCCCTTGTCATCCAGTCCTTGCTTCTGGAAATTAGAGTCTTAGGGACAGAGCATGGGATTGCATCCCTGGCCATCTTGGCCCATTGATGAACCTATCCTCCGTGAATTTACCTAATTCTTTTTTGAACCCAGTTATACTTTTGGCCTTCACAACATCCTCTGGCAACAAGTTCTACAGCTTGACTGTGCGTTGTGTGAAGAAGTCCTTCCTTTTGTTTGGTTTTTAAATCTGCTGCCTATTAATTTCCTTGGGTGACCTCTGGTTCTTATGTTATGTGACCGGATAAATACTTACTTTCTTCACGCCATTCATGATTTTGTAGACCTCTGTCATATTCCCCCCTTAGTCCTCTCTTTTTCCAAGATGAACAGTCCCAGTCTTTAATCTCTCCTTGTATGGAAACTGTTCTATACCCTAGTCATTTTTGTTGCTCTTCTCTGTACCTTTTCCAATTCTAATATGTCTTTTTTGAGATGGGGTGACCAGAATTCAAGGTGTGGGAGTACCATTTATTTAGTGATATGGTATATATATCTATCCCTTTCCTAATGGTTCCTAACATTCTGTTAGTTTTTTTGACTGCTACTGCACATGAAGTAGATGTTTTCAGAGAACTAGCCACTATGATTCCAAGATCTTTCTTGAGCAGTAACAGCTAATGTTACCTGTACCTCTTTCAGTTTTGATTAAAACTTGCTTTTTTGGAGCCTCCTGGTGGTTGCCAAGAGACCGTTGAGCAAGACACTGTTAGTGGGTTTAGCATGGGGATAAAAGTTTAGGAACCAAGTTCTTGCATACAAGAATTGGCTAGACCTTATTTTGCTGTCCTTTCACACACAACTCTCAGTCAACTATAATCACTATTATACTGCTTAGCCTACCCAGTAAACACACTTAGAGCTGCATAGCAAACCAAATAGCACCAACCCCAGTTTATGCTGCCCCTAGCTATATTTATAGGAACCATTGACACCTTAATTATCTAGGGTTACAATGGTTCTTGATTAATACTCTTATTTTTCAGCCTCTGTCTGACATCCCATGTGCTGCAGAAGTACAACAAATTGAGAGGCACCAATAGTATTGGATCCCAATGTCAGAATGTAAACCAGTTCCTAGGTGGCTTAACACACAGGAGAGACACTCCAATGATAAAGAGAAGTAACCAGCAAAAGTCTCTTTCTGGTATCCAATGCAAAGGCATCTTTGGTTCAAGAGTTACACTACATTGACACAGAAACTTGGAGTTCATGTTCTGTAAACATAATCTCCCTTAAATTAAATTTATATACTTTGTTTTGCTGTGCTTTGAACAATTGTTTTGAATGTCTTCTCTAGTATAGCTTGTGAGAGTGCAAGATAAAACTATCTGAATATAGAAATCCATACCTTTTTATGTAAATGTCTCTAATTTACCTAGTCTGTCATAAACATAGGCTAGTTCCAGGAAGAGAGGAGAGATGTATAAGTGATACATTGTGTTTACACACACATTCTAATAATTAACTTAATAGGTGGAAATATAGCTAGAGGTGCTTAAAATAAATGACTGTAGTTTAAATACCTGAATATTACTGTTAAAGTGTAGCATTTTGACACCATCATTTGAACTCTGTTAATGGTTCAAATATAGTGACTACAACAGGTGATCTCATGTGCAGTTGTGGTGATCCCAGGAACTTGGACTTTTTTTTTTTTTTTTTAATTGTTAAATGGCTAATGTTTTTTTCAGCTTCAACCACAATATAGTCCAGGCTGAAACTGATACTTCCCTAAATGTATATTTAAGAGACTGTCTTCTGTTGAGAAATTAATGTTGCTTATCATGAAATGTAAGGAAGCAACTTTATTCTCAAATTGTGGTGGTGCAGCCAGTATTTGCATTAATTAAGTAGAACCTCACAGAACACAGTAGTATTTAACTAATCACTATGAAAAGGATCCCACTTAATAACCATGCTAGTGCGCCTGTGAACCTGATTATGTTTTCTTCTGTAATGTGTTTAATGTTCAAGCAGAGCCCCTGAACTGCACAAGGATGGTGGTACTTTCTGTGTATGCCTTCTCTGCTCAATACAGAGAGGGTCAGCTACCTACATTCTACATCAGTGGGACCCTGCAGAGGGCTCTCTGCAGGACTGGGGCATGTGCATAGGGTTACAATCCTCTCCCCTCCCCCGCAACATGGACTACTTATGTAATACAGCTTCAGACTGTGTCACTTCTTCTGTAGAGTCCCTCGCACCGCCCACTTACGTAGAAGGAGGAAAGGTTCCCAGGGGAGGTCATAAGTAATGTTGCCACTTTGGCCAGAAGACCCCAGGGGTTCTAGAGCACAGGGTCTCTGCATAGATGGCCCTTGCCTCTCTTCCATTCCTGCAGATCTGTGGGGATGGGGCCAGGAGCTATGCAGACCTTTGCATGTGGGGCAGAATTCAGATGGAGGGCTTTAGGCAACCCTGTGAAGCAAGCCTTGCTGGGTCTTTCCTCCATCAGGCCTCTTCCTGTGGTTCAGCTTGTTGGCAGGGGATGCCATAGGCCAATGAAAGTGTAATATCACCTCATGGCAAATACTTTGAGTCATGTAGGCCAGTGTTTTTCAAAGTTCAGGTCGCGACCCAGTACTGGGTCGCGACATGTAAGGCACTGGGTCGCCTTGCTCAGCACCCAGGGACCCTAGCGGCTCTGGTCAGCACCAGAAGTCCCGTCGGTGGTGCTGCCCAGCTAAGACAGGCTAGTGCCTACCTGTTCTGACACCGCGCTGCAGGTCCGGCCTCTAGGCAGGGGGGCCAAAGGGCTACGTGTGCTGCTCCTGCCCCAAGCACCAGCTCCGCACTCCCATTGGCCGGTTCCCAGCCAATGGGAGCTGGGAGGGGTGGTACCTGTGGGCAAGAGCCACATGGAGCAGCTTGCGCGCCTCCGCCTAGGAGCCGGACCTGGTGCTGGCTGCTTCCATGGCGCAGCATGGTCTGCGGTGTCAGGACAGGTGGGAAGCCTCCCTCTGCACCCCGGCTGTGCCGCTGACTGGGAGCTGCCTGAGGTAAGCCTGTGCCCCAATCCCCTGCCCCAGCCCTGAGCCCCCCCAAACCCAGAGCCACCTCCTGTACCCCAAACCCCTCATCCCCACCCCGAGCCTGCACCCCCAGCTCAGAGTTCTGACCCCCCTCGCACCCCAGCCCAGAGCCCCCCCTCACACCCTGAACCCCTCATTCCCAGCCCCTCCCCCTGCAGCCCTCACCCTCACACTCAAACCCTCTGCCCCAGCCCTGAGCCCCTCCCACATCCCAAAACCCTCATCCCCAGCTCCGTTGGGTCACGGGCATCAACAATTTTCTTCAACTGGGTCCCCAGGAAAAAGGTGAAAACCACTCGTGTAGGTCATTGCCCAAAACCTGCAGTCAAGAATTGGCCCTATCTGAGTTCTTACTTGTTATTTACAAATAGATTAATTGCTTTAGCATTAAGACCACTCTTTTCTTCTTTGCAGGTTTTGTATAAACTGTTTACAAACTATGACTCTCCATGTTCCATACGTAAGCTGATAAAGCATCTATGCACTTTATTCTCCTATCTCTGCCAGTTTGCTAGTATAAGTGTGAACCCGTGTCTTGAATTTTTGGATACAAAGACTTACTAGCCAAAGTCTCATTCTTGCCTTAGTAATGTTCCAGAGGCTGAATAATATGTTTGTGGGAGAGATCAATAACTTGTCCAGCCAAGAGCCAGAGTTCAGTGAAAAAGAAGATGATGAATGGATTCTGGTTGACTTTATAGGTAAGATGTCTGTTAAATATAACCTCTACAGCAGGAAGCAGGCAGTTATATTTATCATACTTCTGTATAAGGAGGCCAGTAGCGCCAAAGGAATTTTTAGCCTAAACGTAAATAACATGGATTTGTGTAAAACAATGAACCACAAAACATCTTGTGTAAGCTGACTAGGGAAACTGATGTCAGTTTCATAAGACCTACGGTCTGAACTTGTTATAGAACTACTTGTACAGATAATATTTATTTGACACTGAGCAATCTCTATTACACAATTGTATCACTTTTCTGGCAATACTCCTGATTTTTTTTTTTTTTTTAATCTGACGTGAGAAAGAGTTTCCTGATCACCTCCCTTTTATTTGTTTGTATGTAAAATGCTTGTGTACATGCTGATGGTAGACCTTTTTGTTTGTTTTATCCCCTACTTGCTCCACATGAACTTGCTGATCTCCATCTCCTGCAATCACCTATCTGTGGTGACTTAATCTCAACTGTGGCAACTGGAACAATGGACAACCTCCACTAGACACTTGCACTAACTTTTCAACAGAAGAAGCAGACATCAGTGAAACATCAGCTGCTGACCACTCCCCAGTCTTTTCTTGTTTACCGACTTCCTTAGAGTGTTTGGCTGATGCCAGCGAGTCTTGCTTCATCCAGTTTGACTCATGTCCCATGGAGGAGAGCTGGTTTATTACCCCTCCCCCATGTTTTACTGCAGGTGGATTAACCACTATCAAGGTGGAAACCAGTCCTATGGAGAACCTTCTAATTGAACATCCCAGCATGTCTGTATATGCTGTCCATAATACCTGTCACAGTTTAAATGAGACTAGCTGTGGAGATGAGGAGTTTCATAATCCAAATAGTCCAAGGTAAGTTTTTTATTTTTCTATTGGCAATATGATGTAAATATATAGGCCATGAATTACTGCTGAGTGCAAAGGAGTACAGTAAAATACCTGGTTACAACTTGCTTAGCCCAAATGCCTGAAGAATTAATTAGAAGCTTCAGTTTTAAGTGAATGAACAAAGCTCAGATTCTCCAACATTAAGATAAGCTGATCATAGCTTTATGCCTGATTTTAAAACTCGTGTACATGGTGGCCGAGCTAGGAGTGAATAATCAGCTGTCCGGTCTTGGCATTGTAATTAATACTTCTGGGGCCTAATTATCCCATTAGTTGTACACTCCATTCCTGTTGAAGTCAGATGAAGTTACTCGCACAACTGATACGATAGACTATCCTATCTAGGTGCTTCCTAGAAATGTAGGAGTGCAGAAGTCATCCAGTCTAGCTCCCTGTGCTGAAGCAGGACCAAGAATACCTAGAACATCCCTGAAAGGAGTTTGTCTAACATCTTCTTAAAAATCTCCAATGATGGGGATTTCACAACCTCTCTTGGAAACCTAGTCCAGTGCTTAACTATCCTTATAGTTAGGAAAAATTTCTAATATTTAACCTAAATTTTCCTTGCTGCAGATTAAGCCCATTACTACTTGTCCTACCTTCAGCGGACATGGAGAACAACGTGTCCTCACCCTCCTTACCTCCTCTTTATCACTTTCCTCTCCTCTTTATAACAGCGCTTAAGATATTTGAAGACTGTTATCAGGTCTCCCCTCAGCCATCTTTTCTCAAGACTAACCATGCCCAGTTTTTTAACTTTTCCTCCACTTTGCAATAAAAATGATAAAAGGTATTTGTGCCCACCCCTGTAGTATCTAAAGTGCCTCACAAACATTGATGTCCTCACAACCACCCTTTGAGGAGGGAGAAGTACTATCTCAATTGCAGAGACTAGGAACCCGAGGGGGGAAACACGTGTGGTTTATCCAAGGTCAGGTCACATGAAGTCTGGGGATATGCCTACATTGCAGTTAAAAACCCACGGCTGGCCTGTGCCAGTAGAATCAGGCTCATGGGGCTCAGGCTAAGGGGCTATTCAACCGCTGTGTAGACATTTGGGCTCAGCCCAAGCTCTGGGACCCTGCGAATTGGGAAGGCCACCAATAAACAATTTATTTTCTCTTGTTAAAGTCAGAAATTATTCTTCCGCTAGGATCTGAATTCTAAGGAGGTAACCATGCAGAATGACCACAGACTCAAACCTATCATGCAATATTTGCCTGGTAGCAAAAGCTATTGTTGAGATAGCAAACATGTTTCCTTTATGACCCCACACGTTTTTCCCATATGGTCAAATTCTGAGAAATATTAACGTAATTTCTGGGGCCCTCGTTCAGAAGGGCTGGACAAATTTGACCTGCTTCTAGTGTTCATCCTCTTTAATAAGAATGAACAAGGATCACCTTATGGTGAGTTTGGTTCTGTGTGTAGCAACGTGCAAGTAATTATCACTGACTTCAATGGCAGCCTAGCTCCCATACCTGTAGTTGGTTGGTTTGCAACACTTTAAAGAAAATGGGTGATTTTTGGTAAAGCGACCTAAGCCAGTGTCTAACAAGCATGGGGCTGACACTGAAATTCTGTGCTCTTGGTATCAGGGGCCTGTTTCTTTGGGAGATCCTGAGCACCATAGCTCTGGCTGAAGTCAGTGGGAGCCGTGGGTACCCATCACCTCTGAAAATTGGTCTCTGAAGAAATCTGTCAACTGTAGAGTACCCTAATACCCTGGGGTTGGACATAATACAATGAAAACAGAATAGACTAGTTTGTAAGAACCTACAGTCAGTAGCAGCAATGTAACAGAAATGGTTGCAAAATGGAGATGGTGAAATTTGAGTGAGAATTGTGTCATTCAAGAGTAGATGGATCTGTCGCCTTCCCCTTTCCTCAGATTCAGATATTGAATTATTATGATGGCTTTGTATAATTTAGGGATGCTGGTATGAGCCATTCCAGAACTATATCTTGCATCTCTTTATAATGCAGCACTACTTAAATATATAATTAAATTAAAAGGCCAGATACTCACTTGGTGTAAATCAGCATCATTCCTCTGAATTCAATGGAGCTGTGCATTCAGCTGAGGATGTGGCCCAAGTATCGCTATTAAATACTAAGACTCAGTTAAATTAATGGGAATTAAATGCCTAAATGCCTTTTTGAGGATCTTGGCTAAATATTTTGTCCATAATTTCCTGTACAAGGTAATTATTTTGGAGAACAAAATTGTAACTGTCTCACTCTAAAACGTTAAAGTTGAGATGAAATACAGTAACTGAGAGAAGATATAATAACTGTTCAACTAAGCTGACAATACAATAAAATGTCTTGAAGTCTCTAGTTGTTTAATGGTTGGCCATTTAACATTGTAGGGCCAGGAAAAGCTGCTTAAGGCACACTGGCACAGTAAGTACTACTGCTTTGGGACAGTACTTTTTGTTTGATCGGTCTGCTTTGTAAATAGACTTGTCTATCAAAACTGTACCAGTTTTAAGACTAACCTCTGTGTCAACTTAAGTTATTTGGTCAATTCTAATTCTGCTATAACAAGCAAAATATACTGCTAAGTAGCGGGGAGGGATAGCTCAGTGGTTTGAGCATTGGCCTGCTAAATCCAGGGTAGTGAGTTCAATCCTTGAGGGGGCCACTTAGGGATCTGGGGCAAAATCAGTACTTGGTCCTGCTAGTGAAGGCAGGGGACTGGACCTTTCAGGGTCCCTTCCAGTTCTGTGAGATAGGTATATCTCTATATTATTTTATATTATATTATTATAATAATGGCTTTTAAAAATGTTGATTATCAGTTAAGAATCTTTAGGGTTCCAATCTTGCTAGCTTTTATGTGCAAACAGTGAAGTCACCGGGGGTACATCTCCAGTGGAGAAAAACACCCACTTGAGTGTCAGAGCCCAGATCACCTGACTCCATCTCCCACTATGTTTACATTCCCCTTCCATCAGAAGCCCAGGTGAGGAGAGTGGGTAGGTGGGTCTCAAAGTGCATCAATAGCTCACTAACACATACACTGTGGCTTATTGTTCTGGACAATATGAAATCCATGTCTGTATTAGTGAGCTATTGATGCACTTCTGTGGCTGATGACACAAGTCAAAAACATGCTTAAGACACAATTAGTCTACTAATGCCTGATCTATTATGGTTTTATTGTTGTAGTGCTTGTATTTGTGCTACCATAACTGTACTTGTTCCAGAACTTCCCTTATTACTGTCTTCATTCAGAGTTTCATCTCTGACATGTTGCTTCTAAAAACATGTTAATGCATCATGTGTAGCCAGTGGTAGTGCCATAATTACAGGCGCCTACATGCAAGTTCAGTTGATCAGCATAAAAGGAAAAAATAAGAGCAATTCCAGTGTGAAATGACTAGGGTTAGTGAAGGGCAGAATGTCAACTTGGACATTTATATTGATTGGCTCTTGTCTGTCAGTTTTAATAATCTGTAAAGGGAGGTAACTCTGGGATAGGCATTCAATGCATAATTCATCTTGGGGCCCATATCCTTCAATCCATTCATTTTGTGCTGCTCTGCTGGTACAAAGTGAAAGTGATTTGGCTTCAACTCTTTGCTGGGGGCATAGCAGGATGTTCTACTATACAGATTTTCCACCAGTGTAAGGTTCTTCCACTAGTGGAAACAGAGACTTGCTAGGGCTGAATTTGTTATAGCTGACTCCCTGAGGGCCCCATCCTCTGTGCCCTGAGCACAGGGAAGGCATGGGCTCCTAAACTTTGAGTCCACCAAAAAGGGTGGTGGTAAAGTTGCATACTACCACATTGTGTCCCATAAAAGCGTCTGCTATACAGGTAATGTCACAACTATCATGCCACCTTGATGGAGAGGTTCATGGAAGTTGTTTTTAAAAATTTGCATGGGCTCTGGAAAGCTCTTATGTTACAAAACTTAACAACACCAACCCTCAAACACCATATGTCAGGCTGTGGGGGTGGGAGGCAAGAGACATTTTACTGATGTATTCTCCCACCCTTGCATAGGTTGGTGATGCCCCATACTGTGCGATGGGATGTCTCTACAGCAGTCTGACTTTGAGAGGCATTGAGGGAATCAAAAGGACAGGCTGAAGAAAGATCTTTAGTTACTCATGGCATTTCACACAGCTGGTCTGACTTCAGTGGCTTAAGTGGTCTAACTTTCCAGGTCTTATGCATGAACATCATGTTTTGGTTGCCAGCCATGCAGGAAAATCCAAACAATCTTTTATTTAGTGCCCTTTATTTTCACACAGCCTAAACTATCCTGTGCAAGATGACCTTTAACCATAACATCTAGAAAATATTGACTAATTCGTCTGAGGATAGTGAAATACATGCTGCCTTCTGTATTTAATACATTATACGATCTTTTGGGCATTATACCGTTAGTTCATGTATAATAGCAAGCTGGAAAGTGCATTATACCCAAAAGATTAAATATAGCACAGTCCTTTACAGAGGGATGAGGGTAGAGGAAACAGACCTATTATCAACTCACTCCCTAAAACATGCTAAAGAACTACATCAGAAAACTTCATGCCTAGTGTGATAGGATAGGGTCAACTACTGGAAGTGATTTGTGTAAAGATCTATATTTAGGCTTGGCAGAATTTGATTATTTTTAAATAACTTTGATGGATTAGATCTGTTTTTAAGCACTTTTTTATCTTTATCTATTTAAATTCTCCCAGTTGCAGGAGATTATTAGGGGTGGAAGGGCGAGGCAGTGGGGATGTCAGACAATAATTTAATGGCATTACACATTGAGATCCAAAAAGTCAAAGCATTATAACCATTAAAATACAAACTGTCAACATTACATTTCAAAGTATACACAGTAAATATCCTGAAATCAAGCTCTTAAGTTCTCCAAGCAGCATTTTTCTTACTTTACCTATTTGTACATTTCTATTGATAGAAGTGTGTGTGTGTGTGTGTGTGTGTGTGTGTGTGTGGTGAAACTGATGTTTAGTGACATTTACTGATACAAAACTAATCCTTCCAAGCCTATCTATATTCATTCAGCTAGAAGAAAATACATTCCCTTAATAAACTTACCTAGATCTCCGAGTGCTAGCTGAACTGTAACTAACATTTGTATGTTAAATTTTAGAATGGAAGCACGAAATGAAATGGGGCAGCATATTCATTGCTACGTTGCCACTCTTGCTGCTCACTCAAGTTTTCTGGAACAAACCAAGAGTTTTCGTCCGACCCAGTGGGTAAAAGAACATAATGAAAGACACCATCTCAACAGAAACAGTCTCCGTCGCCAAAATCTTACCAGGGATTGCCACTCTCGGCAAATCAAGCACAATGGATTGTTTGTTCACCAGCCTTGCCAGCGTCAGTACAATTACTGAAGGCTTTTGAGGTTTTAATCCTATCGGTTAATTGTTCTTAGCTTGCTCTTGTTTTAATGTAAAGATAATGAAGGTGTGATCAATCTGAAGCTGATCATCAATCATTTGAATACAATCGTGACTAGTGTTATATTAGTTTGAAACCACATTTACATATAGTGTATCACAAAATGCCTCGCTATAGGTCCTAAATGGTTATCTTAAATATTTCAGTGTTTTGGAAATGTGTGTGTGAGTGTGGTTTTTAACTTTACTATGACGTTTGGATGGGTTTTTAAAGAAAATTCTAACAAAGATGGAACATGCATTCTTCAGTCGTATGAAGTTACAAAATTATTGCGGTCCACCATACACTTTAATAACCAGTGCTTTTGACAGCTTTGTATGTCTGTATATACTGTGTACACAGTTATACTCTAACATAAGCATTAAAAGGCTATAGTTGCCAATGGATTTGAAGTAGATGTCACTAAACTCTTATTGAAAGAAGGATAACTCTAGATTTAATCTAAACTAGATATTATCTACTTTCATTAAACAAACAGTTACTTCATATAAACAGCAGAAGAGAGTAAAATGTCCACCTGATAATACTGGAATAAGAGGTGGCACGAATGTCACAGGTATTGGAGAGGGACAAACTTTGTGCCTTTATATGGAGTGAAATGAAAAGTAGACCTATGGGTTATTAAATATAGACACTTAACCCAAAGATTCCATCAGTATTTTAGATCATGCTCTTTTTTCCCTTTTTTTTTTTTTTCCCCCCGGTCTCCACTTTTCTTTGGGGAGAGGATGCATCCATTACGTACCTCCCAAAACTTGGTTTAGTTTATCTGTAGTCTGATCCAAGGAGAAAGGGCTAGACTGACTGTCTTCTGTAATAGGTCCATCCATAGCTGAGACACCTTCTACAGAACCTATTCTGGTGGATGGTAAGTACTGATGGGTTTCTGAGCTGCTGATTACTGCCTCAAATTGATCAATTCATTTCAAGTGATAGGTTAGGAATGGCTCACAAACTACTGGATGGAAAACCTGTTTCCAGATGAGGTCTTGCACCCTTCCCAATTCTTTCCCAATGAGAGAATAAAGTTGAGGTGGCCATGCCTGGAAGTGATGAAAGGCATAAGAATGTTTTTATAATGTAACACTACTGGTCTTCCGGAATTAAGCAGTGCTAGGAGGGTATATAAAAGTGGAGATGTAAGACCTATATTAACAGTGGATATTTCATTGCTCATGTGGCATAAAAGCAGAAAAATATCTAACTTGATGTTAATTTTATAGACTAGTGGGGGAGAGGGGAAAGTACAGAACATTAAACATTCTCTTAAAAAAGTTATTAAAATCTTGCATGATCTTCTGGAAGAAAGCATGCCTTGAAAGGCAAAGGTACCAAATTTGACAGTGCAGATACTTCCAGACAGCCACACTACAAAATCAACCATGATAGATAATTTGAGTAAATCAAGGAACAGGGGAGAATAGTGAAGCTTTACTCTTCCTCTTTTGTTTCCAGTGCTTCATCTGTGATCACTGCTTTTCCTGCATTTGCTGCTAAGGCATATCAATGTTAGTCACATTCAACAGTGTCTTCCAGCTGAAATCATGTGGAAAAGCCTCAACACTATAAAACATGTACATGATTGGCTTTAATTGTTGTGATTAGATGAAACCAATAATACTTAAGAATTATTTCAAACCTATGAAATGTTCTTTGAAATATGGCCAAATGTTTCAATTTTGCTGATACAAAAGCCTAATGCCTTGTAGTAATCTTGCAGTATGAGTAGCACTGCATATAATAGATGCAGGCTGAACTCTTGTGGAGAGTAATCTTCCTAATCCTGTAGCAAATAGCCTTCTGGTCCCCAAATCCCTTCAAATACTCCATTTTTTCCTGGTTTTAGTTAACAGTTTAACTGCCATGTGTATCTATAAATGTAGCACTATCTACGTTGCTTTTGTTTGTACTCCTGTCATCTTACTGGGGTATATTCCTAGAAATGCCGGGAGGTCATCTAGTCTAGCCCCCTGCACTTAGGCTGGATCACATCTATCTAGACCATCGCTGAAAGGTGTTTAGTCTAACCTGTTCTTTAAAACTTCCAGTGATATGGAACATAGGTTTTGCTTTGAGTGATTATGTGTGAGTCTAAGTGCTTAATGCCAATTCAGAATGTAGATGATTTATGATCTTACCTCTTCTTTTTTTAGTGATGCATATCCATATATATACAATGATATTTTCGTCTGGGCTAGAAACTCTCAATTATTTATCCAAGAATAATTTTGTAGCTTCACCAATCTCAATTCCTAGTATCTCTCTCATTTGCTCACTGAGATCTTAATGTTGCTTCTGGTATCATTCCTTTTCATTTCAACTTTTCCTCTGTTCTTCTTTCATCTCCCTCCCCCTTCTCCCCCCCCACACACACTTACTTTCCAGCTCAGGAGACTCCTTGCTTTAATTTTTCTCTTCCTAAATAACTACTTTCCTTCAGCTTTAATTTTCCTAACGTTAAATGAAGGAAGATGGCATCTCCACCTCCTTTGAATTAAAAGGGTTTTGTAATTCTTTAACTTTTTAGTGGGGGGTGGTAGGGAAGTGCATGGCTCCCAAGCATTATAATTGGAGCCGCCTTTTTTCAGTTGGCAAGTAAACGCAATTTTAGACTGCTCCTAAAAACTGGGAGATAATCTTTTTTTTATACTATATTACTGGATAACTTTCTAGTGATGAAATCCTATATCTTTCAGGATATAAACTTTTTTGTTGCACAAAAGCTGTGCCTCTCAATTCTTAGTATTGGAAACCATGTTATATTGTATGAGATAGATAGATATCTCTATCTATACTTTATCAGTGACTTTTTTTTTTTGTTAATTTTGTCTTGCATATTTATGTTACTAGTTCTATTTTGTGCCTGGAGTTCTTGGGCAGTTTTTTTGTTGTTGTTCTCTAGTAGTGTGTGAGTTGTGTGGCTTTTTATATGGTTTTTGAACAGTAGTAAAACATATTGTTTCTTGTAAAAGTGGAGGCCTTGCACTGTCTCAGATGCTGATTCATTAATTTTGTTGAAACTGTGTTTCCGTATGTATCGGTCAATAGACAGATGTGTTGTAAACAAACCTGTGCCTTCTAGGTTTAACTTGTACACAGCAAACTTGAAAATTCAAAAGGGACATTTCAGTTAAGATAAATACTGTACATCAGTCTATGCATATATGGCAGCTTCTTTCTGGAGCCACTTTCTCTACTTGTAGCAGTTCTTTTGATATCAAAGGTTGTCTGGCTCTTAGTTTGAATAGGCAGTTTGATACAAGCTGAACAACAACAAAATACAGCACTTTGCCAAAAAGTAGCATTGCTTAAACAATGTGTATTTAATAACACAACTTCCTGTATTTTGGTTTCATGGTGCATCTTGCACTTTATGAAGAAACATATGATCTTAACTATCAATAAAAATTGGCCTATTAAAGTGGCTTGTCTGAGTCTTTTTTCCATACTACAGTTAAATTCCAAATGTTTGAGCACTAATTTTGGACACTGTCTATAAATACAATTATCACTACAAAATGACCTTTTGTAGTTCAAAATTCTCTCTGTTCTGGGGGTATAATAGTAATGGACTACATTGCTCTTCCAGTCAGCTGTGAAACAAATTGTGCTCTTGAGGTCCATAAGTGGGAATGGCAAAGGGTAAACAAAGTTCCAACTCTAACAATTTCAGGCTCAACTTCCTTTTGTATATTTTAGTGGCTACACTATCCGCTCAAGCCGATGTCAAGTCAATACTAAATATCTGTGAGGATTCTACCTTTCCAATGATACATGGCCCAACCTTCCTTATAAGGGGTGTTTGCCAAATTACCATACAAAAGCCACAGAATCTTAGTCCAAGTGAGGATTCTGAGATAGCATTAAGGACACAGGAAGGTATGGCCTATACTAGGAAAATGGCCCATTGCTGCTGGATACAGTGAGCAATGGCCTTGTCTCTGCTAGCAAAATGTTCAAAAACTTCCCACTGGTTTAACTTAACCTATCAGTATTAGCTCTGGGAACTCTGGTCTAGACATCCCACTGGCTGCTGGCAGTTGCAAACACCATACTGGTTAGACTTGCTCCATATAGGACTAGCTGATGCTGTTCTCTTAACATTTGCTGAGTGTCTTCTGCTAATGTTAACGTCCGTGGCATTGAATCCTAGTGGAGATGGGGCTGAGTGTCTCTTCTTTGCCCCTTCCCTTCACCTGATATTGAAAATGGTTTAACTGCTGCTGTAGATGGGTATTGTAAATAGCTTTCTCCCACTATAGCAAGCATCATCAAAACATTGTTCTTCTAGGTCCTTATTACACATAATGGTGCTAAGTCTTGTACTCCTTTCCCTTGCAATTTAAACCACTTTCAGTACCAGTAAGAAGAGTTGGGGGGGGGGGGGGGGGAAATTGCTAGCACTCATTGTCAGCAATGAGCTCCTTATGTGGATGGTAACATATAGCTGAACATTATGTATTATAATTCATGCCATATCACGTTGGACTTTGCCTTAGCCAAATAACATAGTCTTGAGGGCCCTGGAATGGGAAGAGACAATGTGCAAATACGAGCCAAACACTTCATTTGCAGAGGGGTTGTCTGGGAAGCAAAGGTAGAGGGCGTGCTTCCTCTGTAAAAAGAACAGGAGTACTTGTGGCACCTTAGAGACTAACAAATTTATTAGAGCATAAGCTTTCGTGGGCTACAGCCCACTTCTTCGGATGCATATGCTTCATCACCCCATGACACATGCAAATGAGAGTCAAGGGGGGTGTGTGTGTGTGTGTGTGTGTGTGTGTGTGTGTGTGTGTGTGTGTGTGTAGAGAGAGAGAGAATGAGTCATTTCTATCATAGGAAAAGTCATGCTAGGACATGTTTTTGACACCATTGTCCCCTTGACATCCTTTCAGAACAGAGGAGACTGAACACAGGCTGAGAAATGTGAATAATAAAACTCAGTTTTGATAGTCTGCCAGTATGTTGATTCAGGGAAGGGCACCATCTCATCTGAACTCCATAAGGCCCTATCTACAGTATACACCCAGCCTAAATGTGATAGTCACCTAGCCATGTTATAGCAAGGATCAGGGCTGCTGAGAAAATTCCCTCATTCTAGTGGCAAGACGGTTGAGGGCATGGTGTGAATTGGAGAGCTGCTCAACAATCCTCTTCCTAGCCCCACTGCGGGACGCAACCAGCAGCTGGAGGGAAGTGGGTAGCTATTTAACAACCCAGTCAGAGTAAGAGATTGTGGGAGCAGAGATCGACTCAATAATCCACTCAACCATAGTGAGGGAAGTGGCCACAGGGGCCCATGGAGTGGAGAGCTTCTCAACAACTCCGTGGTCCTATTGAGAGAAGCAGCCACAAGGAGTGGAGTGCTGGTAGTAATCTTTTTTCCAGTTCTATCACTGGCCCATACCACAGCTCTAGTGTTCGCTGAGCTTTTGTACTATGTTGCCAAACATGGTTATGATGTGCTGAGTTTGGTCTACACTGAGCCCTGTCTATTCCAAGTACACTTCCTAAAACGTTTCCATCATTGCTAACAATAGTTCAGTCCCACAAAAATTAAGCAACAATGAGAGTCCTAGTGCAGAGTGGGCAAGGGCTGTTGCCATCAATTTAATCATTGTTTTACCTAAACCTGCTCAGATCGGTCTTAACAACGTTGTTGTTAAAAGGCCTGCAGCAGCTAGTAGAGCTGAACCAGTGTTAGCAACGGGGAAATTTTGAAAAATGTCTTTTAAATATAAACAATGGATCACTAGCTGCCAACAGCCTTTATAATACTGTCAGTTACACCATGGGGTTAGAAACAATGGCAGTAATAAACAACCCACGTAAGCCAGGGCTCAGGGGTGCTCAAACTAGGGGTGCTGGGGCTGCAGCAACAGCCCCTAGTGTGAAGTGGTTTCCATCACATACAGGGTTTACAGTTTTGTTCAATGGCTCTCAGCAGCCCCCCTACAAAAATAGTTCCAACACCA